TTAAATAGCTGCTGTGAAAAAGGTCTATTTTAATCACTGAATAATCAAGTGATGGGAGCAGTGATTCAGAGGTCTGGTACCAGGCTTTTCAAATTAAAATCACGACTGTACTATGATACAATAGTATTTTTCTCCATAATTGCAGTTGTACTTTCCCTGGGTTTTTGGGGCCATAGTTGAATTACTGATGCATGTTTCTCTTGGCTATGTTCTTAAAAAAATAAAGTAAGTAAACTTACTCACTATGTCTGTAGTGCCTTTAAAGCCAGAGTTACAAGGAGGTTTATCAACACACATAATTAAATGTGTGTGTGCGTGTGTTTAGAGTAAATAACTGGCTTCTGCTAGGAGATGTAATGAGACATTATGAGAGGGCTTCATTATCAGAGGGCGCTTTGACATCCGGGTGATGTCACCTCTGATCAGGCTTTACTCTGGAGTTGAACAGAGGGACAGCAGAGGACACGAGAGGTGGAAGAGTAGTATTTTCTGAAAGCAGCTGAAGTCCCATTGAGGTTCACTCAAATTCAAAGCAGGCATGGCCACGAGAGCAGCACAAATGAGACTTTAACATAGAAGCAACAGACCATGAACCAATACATACTTGGACAGAATATAATCAAATTGTCCTACTCTGTCTAGGTAATGTTAATAGCTTCAATATTCACTTCACATAATTGTGTAATCACTCATCACCATCCCAAAGAACTAACCAAACATAATGTACTTCATTCTATTCAACAGTTCTTCTTCCTATGTGTAGGAGCACATACACACACACACACACTCACAATAATACCTACCAGCCTTCCAATGTGACCTGGCTCATTGCCTCATCATGTTAATAAAACATTTATTTATCTGGCAAAGCAGTCCAGGCGCTCCGAATGATCCTGTATGATAGTGATGCATCGTATTGGCAGACTGCAGATACATAATGCAACAAGGTCACTCAGTATCAAGAATGTTCCATTAGAAATTAAAGCTGATCTGGTGACTTGAAGCAAAACAGAAGAGAGATCAGAAAAAGACAATGTTCATATGTTGGTGTGTGTGTATATTACATTAGTTGTATGATAAGAAAAAACAAACAAACAGGAAAACTACCCGTTTTGTTTCCCATATTTATAAATGGTACATAAGGAAATTGATTTTGGCTTTCTCCTTTCAAAACCAAAAATCTGTTGGCTGCAAAGTTCACTGACCGACATCTGTAGTAAAATATGACGAGGATTGGTATATCATTGCCCTATTAAACCCCAAAGTCCCGCATTAAGACACTTTGTGTTGCACAAACTTGAAATGTTTCACAACACATTAAAACTTGTCACATTTAATTAAAACCATCATTACAAACTTCTCTCCTTTTGAATGTTGACTGTTTTAAGTTGTCTTCTGTTGCCATCTGTTTGTTTGTTCTCTTATTAATTTCTTTGTGTATATTTATTTTATTTTAACTACTCTTACACTGCTAACCTTAAGCTTTAAACCTTTGAATGTCTCAATTCAGAGGTGTGAAATACGGTCCATAATAAGGTCCAGTGTGTAACATTTAGGAGGATGTATTGTCAGTAATGGAATATAATATTCATCGGTATGTTTTCATTATTGTATAATCACCTGAACCGCCATATTTCTTCAGTAGCCCATAACAGACAAACCAAACGCTGGCTGTAGATGGAATAGAATCGTGGTGTTTTTGTTACCTTAGAATGAGCCGTTTTTCTCTACAGAGAGAGCAGTATTGTAAATCACAGCACACGCTGCTACAGAAACTTTGCAGTGACACCAATATCAAGGAATCAAGCAAATATACTCATCATTATACGGTGCAAGGTTGTGTAATGAATTGAAAGTTTGTAGTTCCTTCATGCTACACACAGAAAAATATAATCAAATTCATAGAATAACATTGATGTAAAAACAGAGTCCCCCTCCTCTCGTCCTGCGTTCAGTCTCCTTCAAACACAGTCTGCCTGTCAAGTGTGGATCCGTGATAGTCTTGATGAAGCAGGTCTCTGTAAAGATACAAGTCCTGTATTGCAGATGTTACTAAAGTTAGGTTTTAGTAGCAAAATGCACCTAGAATATATTAAAATATTATTAATAAGGAGAAATTAGTCATTATCCAGTCTCTTTCAGATGTTTCTATTGTTTTTGCATGAACATTTTCTGTACATCTGTAAAGTAAAAGTAAATGTAGTAGTGGAGTATAAAGTAGAATATTTTCCTGTGAAATGTAGTGGTGCAATAATATAAAGCTTAATTCAAAAACAACTTTGTTTATCACTGTATAGTTGATAGATGTATGTATGTGTGTGTGTGTGTGTGTGTGTGTTTCTGCTGCAGGACGAGGTGATCGCAGTGTCTGAGAAGGTTGTAGTTCGACTGAAGGACCTGGTCAAATGGACTGTATGGGACCAGCATGCCTGGGACAGAGGAATGAAAGCTTTACCCCTGAAGATGAGCTCCGTAACCACGGACTCCTTCCTCCATTACCACGACTCAACCCTCAACTGTGGCCTTCAGTTCAAAGATGTCTTAAGAGAGAAAGCAGCACTAGGTAAGAACTGATCTGTGTGTAAAAGCAGCATTTGTAAAAAACAACAACATTACATTCCAATATACGGTAATAATACTGGGGCTTTGGAAGAAGGAAGGTTGAGCTGCATTAGTCTTTGTTTTCTTCAAATTGTTCAGTTGTCAATGAGTAGTTAAATGGAAGCCTAGGTATTCTATCCTGCGTGGAGATGAGGTGGGAGAGTCAATAATAGGGGCATTGTGCTGTCAGCTGTTACATCTGACTGCTGCTGTGAAATAGTAGAAATAGAAATAGTCCCCTGTAAATACAGGGTTAGAAGTATTTAAAGACCATCTAGTCTGCCCTCTGGATGCTTGTACTTTTTTCTAAGTTCTTAGTCAAATGTCTGGATTTGCTTGGTAGACAAACATTTATCTGGAAAAAAGGGTGGAACTGCCACTCAGTGGTTCTCTCTCCCTCCCCTTTATCGGTTCAGGTTATTCAATTTAATAAACTTTGCTACTGTTAAAAGTATAAGAGGTGTGCATTTCTGCCATCTAAGACGATCCGATACGTATCTGGATACGATTCAGGGACCATGCATGTTAACATGGAACAATTCAGTGTGATTTGATGCCATCTGATACAGTTGTTAACTTTTGTTTAATGAAGACATGTATTTTCCATTCTAAATTAATATAAGCTATAGCTCTCTAAATGTGGCACTGCTTAACTTCAAATACGTATATTTTATTAAATACTAGGGAATAAGGGTGTGCATTACAGGGAACCAGGGGGAGCTTAGCTCCCCTGAAAACATGAATCGGCATTATTCATTTATCTGTTTTGTACTCGGCATACTGTAAGTCAAAGGTCTCTAAAAAAGTAAGCTCCCCCAAAAGCCCAGGTATAGTTCACACACTGCAGGGAACCCCAAGTTTTTTTCTTTATGGGAAAAAAATGGAAGACAATGTATCATTTCTGAATTACATTGTGTTTATTGCTTTTCCAACAGACACAGACAAAAAGACTACATTTTATTTGCCTTTCTTTCCCGTCATAACAGTCCTTTGGCTCCTGTAAACTCCATCTGCGCTAATTATGATAAATAAAATAAATCACAAATTGTGTGATCTTAGAAAAAAGATTTATTTTTACATCCCTCTCTGAAATGCACACTGCAAACACTCCAGCCTGGTGTGTCTGTTTGATAAACGTGTCTTAGCCAAAATGCATCACATCTGTGCCTAAAAACAACAAGTGCAAGAACAGTTGGTTTTTGATCTGTTGTAGTCATGGTGAAGTAATAATAGCGGTGGTTGTCATGCTCACTGTGATGAAGCTAACATGCTGGTCTGTGGATTTTGGCCTACCTCCTCTTATCATGTAGTTGCATTAAAGTATTACTCCACAGCCAGTATGAGAGGAGGAATGATTACAGTGACAAAATACTCTCAACACACACATGGCATATGAGTATTGTATTATTGCCAGAGAAAAGCCTGATTTGTACGCCTATATGTATAGATTTCCACCCGAAGTCAGTTTGCACTTGCTCCTTTACAAATTGTTTTGTTTATCGGTGGTTTTCAAATACAAAATAAGTTTTTCCAAAAGGTTTTTTGGAAACTTGAAGTGCATTTGAAAACATTTTCTCCCATTGCTCATAACACACTTGTCGTAAAAATTTAGCTTTTATGAATAAAGAAAACCTCACTTTTGAAAGACATCATGTTTTAATTGAGTAACGTCATGCATACCACAATATTTGATGTGAAGAAGAAGAAGTAAGTAGGAAGCAGCAGCAGGAGGGGAGGAGAGCCCTGGAACAATCAATGCTTTACAGAATAACAGCAAAGATCTGTCTGAGAGACCATCTGTATGTTGTGTATTTGACATGTGTTTGCAGTGTACACATGTATGTATTCATAAAACCTAAGTCTAAGTACAGCGACAAAGTACTCTTCAACATAGTCAGCCATAAATAATCAATAAACACAAAGAAAGGGACAGAATATGAGAAAAAGAGAACTATCACAAGCAGGCCTGATAGGTGTTAGTTAGCCAGCTACAGTATGAGTGGTGTCAGAGAGGATTACAGGAGCCATTTGTTTCTGGCAGGTGATTTGTTTCAGCTTGTAAGATTGTTCACCTACAGCAGCTCGACAAAAAAGCTCTTCTTAACTCACTTTCAAGTGGCAACACATTGCACATTAGGTTTTCAGAGCTCCCTAAAAAAATGCCTTGAAATTGGCACTTAAGATATTATCTATTTTATTTGTTGTTATGTTTAGATGATTACACATGAATGGAAACATACCTATAGATGTTATATTCTATTTCTGACACAATAGAAATAGAATTATTATTATTATTATTATAGTCTGAAGTATGTACATTATAATGCAACAAATGACAATACATAGAGATATAAGGATATGTGTGCTACAGTATTTGATGTGTAATGAATAATAGTAGTGAGTACTGATAATATATATTATAATATAATAATAATAATACTGAGAGCTAAATTCTAAAGATTGCATTATTAAGTATTTAGTATTTAGTGACAGAATAAACCAAAGTATTGCACATTGACCAGAGTATTGCACATTAACTGTACTGACATTTCTTGTTAGCTACAGGCCGGCATACACTGATACTGCTGTCCATCTATCCATCTTCAGCTCACACTCACCGGCCACTTTATTAGGTACACCTTGTTAGTACCGGGTTGGACCCCTGTTTGCCTTCAGAACTGCCTTAATTCTTCGTGGCATAGATTCAACAATGTGCTGGAAACATTCCATAGAGAATTCGGTCCATGTTAACATGATAGTATCACGCAGTTGCTGCAGATTTGTCAGCTGCACATCCATGATGCGAATGTCCCGTTCCACCACATCCCAAAGGTCCTCTATTGGATTGAGATGTGGTGACTGTGGAGGCCACTGGAGTACAGTTAACTCATTGTCATGTTCAAGAAACCAGATTTGAGCTGTGTGACATGGCACGTTATCAGATCAAGATGGGTACACTGTGGTCATAAAGGGATGGACATGGTCAGCAACAATACTCAGGTAGACTGTGGCATATAAACAATGCTTAATTGATACTAAGGGGCCCAAAGTGTGCCAAGAAAATATCCCCCATACCAATACACCACCACCACCAGCCTGAACCATTGTGTTGTTTATGCCACATTCTGACCCTACCATCTGAATGTTGCAGCAGAAATCGAGACTCATCAGACCAGGTAACGTTTTTCCAATCTTCTAATGTCCAATTTTGGTGAACCTTTGTAAACTGTAGGCTCAGTTTCCTGTTCTTAGCTGACAGGAGTGGCACCCAGTGTGGTCTTCTGCTGCTGTAGCCCATCAGCTTCAAGGTTCGACGTGTTGTGCAATCAGAGATGGTCTTCTGCATACCTTGGTTGTAACGAGTGGTTATTTGAGTTACTGTTGCCTTTTTGTCACCTCGAACCAGTCTAGCCATTCTCCATTGACCTCTGGCATTAACAAGGCATTTTTGCCCAGAGAACTGCCGTTCACTGGATATTTTCTCTTTTTCGGGCCATTCTCTGTAAACCCTAGAGATTGTTGTGTGTGAAAATCCCAGTAGATCAGCAGTTTCTGAAATACTCAGACCAGCCTGTCTGGCACCATCAACCATGCCATGTTTAAAGTCACTTAAATCATCTTTCTTCCCCATTCTCATGCTTGGTTTGAACTTCAGCAGGTCATCTTGACCATGTCTACATACCTAAATACATTGAGTTGCTGCCATGTGATTGGCTGATTAGCTACTTGCGTTAACGAGCAGTTGAACAGGTGTACCTAATAAAGTGGCTGGTGAGTGGTTATTATTTTAAAAAAAAATGTTTAGCTGCTTTCAGAATTAAATATATTAATTAACAAGAATATATATTATTAACAGCTTGAAAAGAAAAAAAGAGGAAGTTCCTAGTCTATCAAATGACATATCACTGGAAAGCCCAGGGTGTCTTCTTTACAGTACAACAGGGATTTACCATTGTGGTGTACAATGGTAAAATTAATTTACTGACGTGCTTTTAAGATGCCAGAATGCCACCTGTGTATAAAGACATAAACACTGTTGTCAAGCACAAGAAACTGGGGATGTCACAATACCAGAATTTTAGTCTATACCAATACCAGTGAAATTCCACGATTAAAATAAAAATGTCCCAATCATGTTTTTTTGCCCCTGATCCCTATTTGATATTAAGTGTTGGCTGATACTGAGTCCTGATCCAATACTTGTTTTCCTATATAATACAGGTTGACAGCTCTGTGTTGCTTTATGAATACAAATTCCCTGCAACCAAGCTTAGTTACTTTTTGTTTAAATTATTCATATATTAATATAGCCTATTATATATACTAGTGCAGTGCC